GTCAGGGGGGGGAAATGTGTCGGGAGGGGGAAAAAAAGAAGAGGATAAGAAGAGGAAAAGGAATAGGGAGAAGATCGCGAGGCAAGGGAAGAACGACGCGTGGGGGGGGGGGAAGATCGAGAGTCGGGGAGGGGAAGTTGCGCGAGAGCGGGGTCGGAGTCGCGACGACGAAGAAGAAAAAGAAGAAGAAGAAGATAAGAAGAAGAAGAGAACGAAGAGAAGGAAGAAGAAGAAGAAGAAAAGAATAATAAAAAATAAAAAAAGAAAATTGTCGTCCATTACTTATCTGCGTGGAGGTAGCATCGACGATGATGAGGATGGTACGGCGCGACGACGAGGACGACAGGCACGACGATGGCGACGATCACGACGATGACGTGGCACTACGAAGACGACCACGACGATGACAATGATGACATGGCACGACGGCTCCGATCACGATGATGTACGACGACGATCACGACGATGATGCTGATGATGGCCAGGTGGTGACGGCAAAGCAAGGTGGGTCGGGCGGGTTCGAACCACTCCGATACCAGTGTGACGAGCGTGAGGCTGAGGGAGAGCCGAGGGAGAGGAGAGAGAGAGGGAGAGAGTGAGAGCACACACACACACACACTCACTCACTCAACACGACTGAGGGTCGGACGCAGACACGGTGGCAAGGGCACAAAGTCAAAGTCTTGGATTCCGAATGCCGAAACAACACTACGAGTACAGTAGCTGAAAACTGGTACAAGACTGGTCCCTGTACTGTACGGGGAGCCGGCATAAGTATCGGTGATACGTACGGTACCAGGGGCATTTCCACAAAAGCCTCCGAGGGCAGAACTGAAAAATGCGCTATTTGAAAGTGGCGCCCGAACTGCAGCATGGCGACAGTTGTCCAAAATCCGACAGTACCAAAGGAGGGGTTTGGAAAAAAGGGTGCCAGGTCGAAAACGGGATGTAGAAACAGCAAAAAGATAGACCAGGGATCGAGCCCTGGCGGATTCCGTAACACTATTGCTGCTGCCACACGAATCTGCTGCTCTAGCTGCCGATCGGGGGTCTGAAGTTGCTGATTTGTTGGTTGCTGCTGCCAGGCAGTGTCCTTCAAAGAGCCGACGTCCATCTGCAACGTTGTGACGCGATCGGGGCCAACGGCAGCTGGTGCAAATGGTCGCTGTTCCAAATTGTGAACATGGGCAGTCAGCCCCTGCACAGCCTGGTCCAGCGTGAAGATGTCCTCCTGTTGGACCTGGCAAGTGGCCACGAGGTCAATAATCCGCTTGATGACCGTGGAAAATTTGCGGGCAGTCTCGGAGGCACCCTCCTCCTTGGCCCACTTGTCCCATTCGGTGGCCAAGGTCAAGACTTCAGCCTCCTCCTCAAATAAGGCATCCCTGCGCGCCTGTCTTGCCTAATTTGCAGCCTGATCTGCAGCCTGTCTCGTCAACCTGCTATTCGGCTGCCAGGCGACACTGCTCCTCCGTTTCCCGTTCCCTTTTTTCTCGAGCGGCAAGTGCCGCACCTGCTCTCTTCTTGATCTCGGCCATTATGTCCGCCAACCGAGCCTCGAAGTGTGCATCGGACTCATTGCCCCTACGGTCCATTGTCTTAGCAAGAGACCGGAGGACGGGTGGCATACGCGGCCAATGCTGACAGAGCACCACTGCTCTGCTGATGCGTCACAGTCACCTGCGGACGTGGCAACTTACCAATGCCCGCAGCAGAGAAGAAGAGAAAAGAAGAAGATGGGATATGGAAGGAGAGAAAAACGAACGCAGCATGCGCAAATGGGAAGGGTGGGAGAGAGAAAGAGAACTGCAGTCAAACTGATAGCACTTCCCCAACCTTCATAGGGTCAGCTAGATCGCCCAGATATGGAGGAACTAATCAAAACGAAAATTTTGGCTGAACTTGCAATTGCAAGGAATATGAGTGTGAGCGATATACATAAAACCAAGTTGAGAAATCACACAGTTAAGCAAGTAGTAGTATCCAAGTAGAGAGTACAAATGCACTGAGAAAACCATCCATAAAGAGCAATACAATGAAGTATTGAGCCAATGTCCAAACCCGTAGGCCACACCAACACAGTATCCAGAGTCGCTCTCTCTGTCTGGCGCACAGCGCCCAGCCTACTCTGCCATACTATCCTACTCTACAGTTGGTTCACACAACAGGATCACTTCGGCTCACGAAGACCAATGTACATGACTCTCAACACCATCAGCGACCTCTCTCCATGTACCAGGTATGTAACTCGTCACCCTCAATCAACCTTGATTATCTCACACAGCGCCTCACTCCCTGAAGACCAACTGATCATCCGCTGTACCCCCTGGCGCCTAGCACCCCGGCTATGGTCGCCTGCGCCCCGCTGCCCTGCAGCGCCCCTCTCACCACCTAGCGCTCCGTGAGCGCCCCTGGCA